AGCAAAGCTTTGGCTGGGACAATCTAGTTGGGGATTATCTTGCTTTGAGCAGGGGGTTGGATTAGATGACCTTCTGAGTGAATTTTGAGGTGGCTACAGTCCCCCCCATAGCCCCTTCCCAGCACCACCACTGCTGCTGTCTGCCCCAAGTGCAGCCCACCCCAGCCCCACTGCTGGGAAGAGCCTGGCACTGCCCCGGCAGCCTGCCCTTGCCCTGCACACAGATCCAGGGGCACGTGCCCCCTGTGCCCTCCCAGGGTACATGCAGCAGCGGGAGCTGGTCCCCCCTCCCCCCCACCTCCTGGACAAGCCACTCGCAGCTCCATCCTGTGCCCCGCCCTTGCTGTGCAACGCCTGCTCCAGCCCCAGCTCCACTCCCTCCCTCACAGTAGGGGCTTGATTTGCTCCCCCATGCCCCTTCCTTCCCGCCTCACCCCTTCCCCCACAACAGACTTACCAGCCGGGTGCCACTTTCCGCACTGTATGACTGCATACCAGAATCAGATCGGTATCGGCTGTTGTGACTCGTTAAATTCGGCCATCAGTATCAGCCCAAAAATTCTCTCTCGGTGCACCCCTATTTTATATCAGTTATTCTCAATCAGGTTATCATAAGATCCTTTGAAGGAGTGCTGTGTAATATTACCACTGTTAGGTGTGTAAACAGCAATGCACGATTCAAAAGATAAACCCAGAAATTTCAGGGTTCACTAGGACTCCATAGTGTCAAGAACATTCTGACCTGCTGTGGCCTTTCAAGCTCTTTACAATGGAAGAATTTCTCTATTTTTTTCTGTGATCAAGAAACAAGGGAAAGCTAAGAGCTGGCTTTTCCTGAGAGGTGCCCTAAATCTAAAAAGGTTATCACTGGGTTATATGATCTCATATTTCAAGGCTGCTGGTTTTTGCTTCTGTGATCATGGCTCCTTCCATCTTTCTTCTGACCATTGCAGACAACTGCAGCTTGTGAGATCTGTGACTTTTATCTTTCTCAAATCTCTTGAGCAGAAGGCTGGTTTATTTAGCACTACACTCTCCTAATTTGACTCCTACCTCATTTCTCAGGTTGGAGCTCGTCTTGTACATCAGAGTCTCACCCATCCATTACCAGCTACCTCCTAACTCTATCCTTGTTTCTCCTTCTGTCTGTCTTTAACATCTCACTGCTGATTTCTTGTGTGGGCAAAAGCACCTGGTCATGACATAACTTCTGAAGTTGACAGTGGAAATGTCCTCTTTATAATGGGTCTCCGCTGGCTGTAATTATCTTTAACTCAGATGTATTTCTTAACCTGGGGCTATCCAAGTGGTGGCCCATGGACCACATGTGGTCCCTGAGGTGTTAAACTGCAGCCCCCAGATTCCTAGTCTGAGGGCCATTCCCTCCTTTGCTCCTGGCTACTGCTGCCAGAGTTCCCAGGCTCCCCCTCCCTCCTCTAGCTTCTTTTGCCTTGCCTCACCCATGGGAGCTAGGGCTGAGCAGTGTGGCTCACAGGGCTGATAGAGCCCATTCATGCTGGTGTGGTGCAGTGGGAGTTGCTCACTGTGTGGCACGGGGGGGGACTGTGCAGTGAGACTGCACTGCAAGTAACACATCCACATGTGTAGGAGGCTTGTGTCGTGCAGCATGTTCATGCACTGAGACCACAGGGCATGTCAAGGGCTCATGTGGTGCATCAGGGCTCATGCTGTGCAGTGGCAGGAGAAAGAGAAGCGCCCTGGGAACCTACACAGTGTGGCAGTGGGTGTGAGGAGGCTCATGTGGCACAGTATGTGGCCTACATGGCCTGCAGTCCCCAGCTGCTTGGAAAATGGAGATCCCTGCTTTAACCCAAAGGTTGGATGATGGGTCATCAACCATCTGCAGTTCTGTTTATTGTTGTCTTTGAAACACTGCTGATATTTATAATCACTTCAGTATTTACTTGTTGAAATTCATATCTGTACCTTAATCACTTCTTATTGCCAGCCCAAAATGGATTTCTTTGGTATCTTCTTTCCTTGAAGAGAAAAAAAAGATAGGGAGAAATACAAGTTTTGCATGTCCCTGTACTGTGTGCTGACTTCAGGAATGCTACCATTCAGTACCCTTCCTTTTCCTGGATTCCAGTACACTTCAGACATGACTTGCGAATTACCTTCCTAGTTTTCAAACCGTCATTGTCCTTGCTCTGCTCTGTCTCTTGGACCTTGTATTCATATAATCTGACCTTGGCCTTCTCTCCATTCCTTCTGTTCTATTGACTACATAGATAAAATGAAAACCTGTGTGATACTCGGTCTCTGTAATCATGATGATAGCAACTAATCTGCAAAATGTACATTGTTACTTATCACCCTGAAAGTGCTGACTTGATGGTAAAGTTTTAGTCCTTATTGGAGGGGTACTTGTGTCTTTTATGAAAGACTTTTTCTCCCAAGGGTTTTTTTTCAGGCTTTTCAGAAGAAAAAATCACCTTTCTTTTTGGATGAACCTAGTTTCAAACCCTTTTGTTCAGCTTTAATATTACATCTTGTGGTGGCAATAAACCTAGCAATCATTTGGAGAGAAGATAAGTTAGATAAATCTAGCTTTTATTATAGATAGTATATATTTAACCAGACCTTCCACCACAAACTTATCTTAAAAGTTTGACAAAAGTGATGTAATAAAAAATACACTATCTGCTTTACAAGTTTTATTGATCCTGTTATTTAATGTTTCATTTGCACCATCTATGAGACTCAAATTTGTTAATAATTAAATAGATGGTGAATGATAAAGTCTTCAATAATATGAACTTTAATGGCAAGTGTTATATAAACATGTGATTTAATATTGTGTGCAATAGAACTTTACAGTTGTTGATACAACCTAGCACCAAACATGCTTTTATATTCAAGTGGCAGTTCTGCACTTACAGCAGCTAAAGTAATTCAGGGCCCATCTTCATAACTTTGAGGCAAAACTATATTCTACCAAGCAACGTCACTGGGTTTAAATTCCAGCCTAGTCCATTTCTTCCTTTGACACCGGAGACTGGAAGTGCTAGAAACCTTATGGATGAGTGAATAAGCTAATATTTATGTTCCATATTCCTTTTATTCAGAGTGATATTTGAAAATATTTTGTTTCAAGAAAACAAAGAAGCTTTGATCCTGAAAATCCTTGAATCGTGTGGCAGAAACACAAAATGAATGGATGCTACAAATAATAGACAGAACTTGGTCTAGTCTTCAGCATTGGGTGGGAAAAAGTCTCAAACCCCCTGTGCAATACTGTGGCAAGGAAGTTTGATTTAAATTTGAATCAAGCAGTAATTTTCTGAGTACTGAAAGTGGAATGAATCCCCATTGGTTTAGAGTGGAGGGAATGTAAGTTTTGCCTCTTTCTCTTTTTTTAATAAGTGTGTACAAACTTCATGAGATGGGTAGAGCAGAGAAATTAAGACCCTGTCTTTATTGCCAGTAAGGTGTTCTTGGTTTTGTTTTCAACCAGTGCAGAATAGCCATCTCTGGGTGCATCTACATGTGCAATTAATGTGAAGCAATAAATTCTGGAACAGTTCAAGCCAGACTTAACTGCTCCCGGGGGTCAGTGTCAGCATGTGCACCCAGGACAGCAGCAATTTGAGCCAGGGCAGAGCAGGCCCCTGGCTGGCTGGGCTGACTGGGCACAATTTACACTCCCAGTCAGTCTCTACACACGTATTTCAGTGCAGTTAGTTACTCCTCTGCAAGACAGTACTGTCCCTAACATTACTTTCTTACAGTGGAGTTAATTAGTTTACTGTGCCCTAATACCAGTGAACGTGTAGACTGTGATGCTTATCTGTAGGACTAATTAGTAGACCTGTGCGAATAGGGAAGTATTGGATTCGGATTCAGATTCAGCCGATTCGGATTGCTGTCCCCATTCAATTTGGCTGAATCAGAATCGGAGATTCGATGCTGTTTAGGTGCTGATTCAGCCCCATCCTCCCGGCACTTGAAAAAAAAAAAAAGCCCCGCACTCACCGGCTGCAGCAGCACCAACTGGGGCGTCTGGGGGCTCGTGGCAGAGCCCCCCCATGCAGCGCGGGGCAGTGGGGATAGCAGGGATCGCGCCTCCCCGCCACCTCCCACACTTGGCAGCCACACAGCAGCTGTCATCATGCACTGTGAAGGAGCAGCTCCAGCAGTCAGCTGGAGCCCAGTACCGCTAAGCCTCAGTGGCTCCAATACCGAGACAGCGCGCAGCAACCTGCTGAGGCATGCTGCACTCGCACCATGGAGCAGCCGCCACGTGGGTGCCAGACAGCAGGCATAATTCCCTGCTGCTCCCCACTGCCCCACACTGTGCATGGGGGCTTTGCCATGAGCCCTCAGAGGCCCTGATCCCCGCTCTGCCGCCAGTTTTTTTTCTTTTTCTCTTTTAAGTGCTGTGAGGCTGGGTGAGGGATGGGGCCAGGCAGGGCAGCCATGGGGGCTTCTGCCGTGGTTCCCCCTGCCTGGGAGAGGCAGGCACAGCTGGAGGAGCTGCAGGAGAACCTGTAGCCACGTGGCTGTGTCTGCCTCTCCCCGGCTGATCTGAATCTCTGAATCTCTCTGAATCAGCACTGAATCGATTTGGAGGCTTTGGATTCGATTTGGACCTTTTAATGAGTCCCCCAATTTGATTCAGATTCAGAGATTTGGCCACTGAATCGGACCGAATCTCCTCCAAATCAAATTGGCACTTGAAGCTTTGCACAGCCCTACTAATGAATCTATTCTGCAGTAAAGTACACATGTAGATGTACCCTCTCTAGAATTCCCCTAGGACTTACGTGTGGTTTTTACCATGAGGTTGCTAGATGGGGTCAGCAGGGATTCCTCCCACTTGTGGCTGACTTGACTTGCAGTGAAACTCAGGTGTTTTGTTTTCATTAATGCTCTACATCTGGGTAGCCACAAACTTGTTAGTTAAATTGTGATTTATTTAGTAATGAATCTTTGGCAGGTAGGTCATAACTGCATCCAAATCTTTGTCTCTATTCTAGGAGGTACCTCTGACACACGACCAACATTTACCTTAGAGGATTATCTGAGTGATGGCTATAACTACAAAAGATACAATTTGCAGTGGATTTCAGGTAATCCATCTAATACTGATAAAGTGTTCTTTCTGCCTGTCTCTGTTATTTGACATCCATGTGAACAGCAGGCTGCATTTACCTGAATGGAACTAGCTGGTATGTGACGAAAAAAGTTTGTGATTTTTGTGTGGTTGTAGAATGATGTCAGTAATGACAGCAGAATGAGGATGACTAATTATTCAGTGTTCAGCTGTATCTTCCAGCAAATTCCTGTGTTGCTTGTGATGTGAAGGCACATTGCTTGCTGTGGGGACTCGAGGGTATGCCTACTGCTGCAGCCTTTGGTAGGATGCTGCATAGTCCTTCCTTGTGCACCTTTCCATTTATAGGCCAGTGGTGGAATTGGAAGATAAGGTAGAGCTCTTTTTCTTTTTAGGTGCGCTGAGTTCCCCAAGGGAGTTGGTGAAGCATTTTGTTTTATGGTTTCTCTGTGTTGATTTATAGTTTCTCTCTTGTTCCCTTAGGAAATGAATACGTCCACAAAACAGTGGATGGCAGCCTGCAGATCATCAGTGCTGATAATGGAACAGTCTTAAAAACTCTGAAAAATACCACAATAGTATGTCCATATATTGTACATTTTAGACTTTGCATTGATTCTTTCCTTTTATGTGTTTCCTTTATATATGTAACCAGTGTGGCATGTAACCATTCTCTTTCCTTCTTTGATAGAAAGAAGTTGGAGCTACCACAGCTATGTTCTCACCAGATACAAAATTTGCTTTGCTACAATCTGGCTATAAGAAGGTACTAGTATGTTCTCTCTTCTTGAGATGAAGAGCTGGGAAAAGGGGAGCTGGGGACTGACTGGGCAAAAAGAGTTGGAGTGGTAGGGACTGGGAGGAAATGCAGTGCAATGAAGTGATCCTGTGTAAGGTTGCTGGCAGAACATTAAGACAGACACATAATTGGAGTCTGAGGAATGTTATGCCCCATTGTCCAAATTGTATGACCAGCCATGCCATGTGTGTATGGCAAGTTGCATAATTCAAGGAATTGGGCATAAAATTCCTCAAATTCTAATTGTGTGATTGCCATTTGTTGTGGGGGACTATTTGATGTCCACAGCATCACGGTTAGGACCGTTAAAAGCTGTGGGCTGCTTCAGAATGGCCGCCGGCGATAGTCAAAGTCCTCTGGACCCCGTGCGGGGGTCCAGAGAGGGTCCAGATGTAGCTATCCCCAACTGGGGATGAGTAAAAGCTGGCCGCTGCTGCGCTGTGTTGCGTTGGGTGACCGGCACTGTAAAAACATCAACAGACTAAAAAAATGGACGGGGGTATCCTCCTGGCATCTGGCGCTCGCAGTTAAAAGGTTAAAAGCCTAAAAACCCCATGCTGGGGCTGCCACTGGGTTGGGTGACCAGTGCCTTAAAAACACCAATAAATTATGGGGGACAACAAAAGAGAAAACAGGGCATGCACGTGCAGGGTCATAGGGCCAAAACAATTGCTCCCTGGGGGGACACTGAGCAGAGCACCCCGGACAGCGCCCACTGGCTCGCAAACTTGGAGAGCTCGCCAGCGGCTACTGCCCAGTGGTACTCTGCCCAGAGACGCATGCGAAGGACACCAAGGAAAAACGCCCCAAGGTCACCGGGAGCCTTCCTGGCCAGAGCCTCCTTCCTGGATAGTTAGATGACAAGCTTGGCCAGAGCCAGGAGGAGGCTGACCAGGAGGTCCCGGGCCTTGCTGGGGCTGTCACAGGCCAGCTGGGCACTGTGAGTATATTAATTTAGTTGCAGACTGACTGAGCACTGCAACTTTATTAGCCATTGGGCTTTTTGGTTTGGGATCGAGGAGGTGATGTTGGGAAGGAAAGCAATGACAAGTTTTGCTTATAAAAAAGAATAAATTTTACTTATAACAACAAAAGATATAGTTTACATATATGACAGTTAGTAAAAAGGTTAAGCTAATAAACAGACAGCATAACAATACAGATTAAAATTGACAGTGATTATAAAACAGATAAAGAAATTAACCAAGAGTTCCCACTTGGTTAGCAACTTATTGATAGTCTCTCAGTTAGAAGATACACATCATGTTGATTCAGTGGTCGGACGTCTCTGAACTGGACTGTCCAAGGGAGAACCAGGGGAGGCTCCTCAGTCAGAATCTGGTCCTTGCTCTCATAGATCCATGGGGGTATGGGACAGCAATGACCTTTCTGTTCCATCCTTCCCCGAGGGTTACTTAACATGTGTGTTCTTTCATATCTTATTTATCCTAATTTTTTGGTTATATAGCCATTCATAGTGTTACTTTATAGCTGTTATCCTATGGGGTTAAAAGGTGTTAGAAATCATTACAATAAGTTACTGCCCAAATTTGGGTTTACCCAATAAGCAAAACACACCACATCACTTTGGGGTTTGAGATTAACATGTCTCTATCTAAGTTCAGCCCACTATGTTAATTATACCTTGTGAATATGTTCGTTAATT